CATGAACTTTGCCAATATAAATAAGAAATAGAATTCCCTAGCCTTCTCACAATTGCTTTATTTTCATTCCTCAAAGCCAGACTTAAAATATATGAACTTTTTCTAACTACCCATTACCTATGTTGTCCTAGGACATTTCAGTGAGTACTGAAAGCTAGGGGCAGGGCAGGCTCAGGAAACAGAGTAACCATGCATGGTGGAGGAGGCTAACCAGCCAGCTGAGCAGGAGGCAAAAGCCAAGGATTAACAGAACAGACTACAGTGGATAAGGGGATCAGTTTTGTTTGCCACGCAGTGAGCCAGGCACCCTTCCTTACAGGAAGACTTCTATGTTAACACACTTTCAAAGTAGGCTTTTTTTTTTTTCAGCCAAAACTTTCTGAATACAAAAAACAAAACAAACAAACAAACAAAAAAAAACCCCAAAACAAAACACCAATACCCAAACAAAAACATAAAACCAGCCTAGGTTACCAAGATGCTCTGACTTCCTCTCTTTAGTCACCTAGAGAAAGCTTAACTTTTTATACTACTGAAGTTCATGTGAGAGCCCTTCATGTCTGCCATTTTCACCCTGCTAGCCTGTGCTCTACCACCCTGGAATGAGCATGCCCAGAAAGGTATCCACCATTAGGCCTTTCTGTACTATGACCTTCAACTGAGCAAGTGTACTATAAGCATCATTAATTAATTTCTCAGTGTGTTGCCTGATTATAAAAGTAATTGAAGCAGTTGGATTTCCTTCTTTGCCCTGACCTATACAAGTTTACGAGGGAAATTATAGTCTGAATGAAATAAATCATATGTTTATTCATATTACTAATCTTTTATTTTATACTGATTTTCTTTTCTCCCTAAAGAAGGTCAGAATATATCACCCTAAAATACACCACTTGGTATAAGGAGTGTTTTGGCTGAAGGTAATTTGCTGTCTTTGCTTTTCTGTATAAAAATTGTATCCATACATGAATTTCCCTAGGTAAAGTGACCAAAATCTCCATTTGTAAGTGTTGCCACTCCAAATGGGGTGAGGTGGACCTTTTACCTACACAGCAAACCTTATCTAATAATTCTTACTACCATACATAATTTCATAGTCATTTTTCAACAATTTACTGCCTTCCCAGAAGTCCAGACCCTTTTCCTTTATCTGCACTTTATCATTCTTTGTTAACATTATTTTTTTTCACAGCTGATTAATAGGAGAGTTTTGATAGTCAATACACTGTACATTGTTATCTTCTTAGTGGTTATCCATAGTACAAGAATCAGACAGGATATTCTGTCCAAACACTGTTAGTACACCTCTTTCTTCTCA